AAAGAAATGAACAAAATTACTTGCAAGAATTATTTATGGCTAACACATTGATCATTTAGGGAAAGAATGCTGGTCTAGGAGCCGGGTGATCTGCTAAAACCTAGCTGTGTCATTTAACCTAAATGGTTCTCTACTGATTTGTAAAATGAGGTGGCTGAATTAGATCATTTCTTTGATTCTATGACCCTTCTGGGTAAATGGGAAAGCCAATTTGAATTAGATGAAGTCTAAATTAAATAGTACCTTAAAAGAAGTATCATTTTCTAATATTAAGGTAAACTGACAGTATCTCCAAGTTATCCTTGCCATTTTGTTCAAGGTCGTAGAAGCCGCCTTTATAAATCAGAAGAATTTATAAAGTAGGGAATGCTAAGAGTACTGTGATGTTTGGGTTGATTTTCTGGAATCTCCTTTGGAGTCCCAAGCCTTACAATGTACTTACGATATCCAAAAAGCACATTTAGAGTTAAAATAGCTTGACATGTTTTGATCATTTCATCAAAATTACTGAAATCAATTCTATGCTTTTTCATTTTTTACCTAGCTTAAAAAAAAAGATGTAATTCTCCTTTGTTGAATGAACAGAACAACTGGGGCTGGGTAGCTTTTTGTTCTTTTTGAGAGTGGGCTAAGATGGAAAGCTACTGTTTGAGGCATACAAGATTCTAGAGCACAACCAAAAGACCACATAAAGCAATTAGCCCATATTCTAAAAATCCAACAAGTAATAACTACAGAAACTTGATAGAGACCTTTGAAATTCCCAATTCAAAGAAATACTCGAACTTCTAAGGCTTAGCTGTGAGAAGACCTGTTAAATCTTAGCACCTGGGCTTACTCACGTTCTGAGCTTGCACAAGATTATTTTTTTTGACATCTTGTTCAGGAGAGGAAAGACTGAGCGTATGGCCTTATTTCCTACTCAGGAATGAGAATGGATTTCTGCCTGGGACCTTGGGGAGGAGGATGGGTGAAGAAGCTTGTGTCAGAAAGTCAGTTCAAGAAAGTGGAAGGTCTCAGGGATAGAGCTGAGGTTGGATTCAACTAAGGGTTGAGAAAGGTATCTGATGAGTCAGAGCCTCAGAAAATCATAAAGTGATCTAAATCCTGACCACAAACAAACATAAATTGGAGAGACTGAGGTGCACGTAACTGCCTATCACTTCCACCCCCTGGCCAGAGGTGACACCCTCATGGGTCTGCTAAGGGCCTCTGTATTAGTTCCTGGAATCCTCTCCTAAGTTTGAGGTTTCATCTGAACCAGGAGGATATGTGAGAGGAAAGGACAGCTCATGAGAGCCAAGAAGATGTCTGCTGAGTGAGCAGGCCACCCTGCCTCTACTGAGCTCAAAGTACCCCCAAAGCCCACTGAAAGTCCTGTTCTTCTAAGACTGCCCAGACACCGGCCCCCTTAGTATTGCTCACATTTCCTAACAGATCAGCACACTGTCTGCTAGTAAAGAAATAAACTATCTTGTCCCTGCTGCATGATTATAATTCCAAATCAAAGTGGAATTGCATTTCTTCCTATTTCGTAAAATAGGTTTGATAAAATGTTCTCACAGTTTCCTGCATTTCTTTTTTAATATGACATTTCTTCATATCACAGCTTTAGTACTTGCCTTGATAATATGGCCAAATTATGGTAATTTCTGTATTTATTTCAGGGACGAATGTGCAATGTGATTTTTTAAACATTAATTTAAAGCAAATTTGCTATACATTTTTATTCAATCTTGAGTCTAAAGTGAAGCTTGTATTATGCAAACAGTAAGATGAATGCCTGGATTTTAGAAAACAGTAGAAAAAAAAACCTAATTAAAAGTTAAGTAGATGGGGATTTAATCTCTTCAATTTAAAATCCCTTAGCTTAGATCTCTTGTTAGAAGGGCTTCATAAAAACAAGCTGTAAACATTCTCCATAATTAAACATGAACATGTGATCTATGAAAAAACTTGGCCCTCAGGCCATATATATTTAAATACACAGAATTACGTTTGAATTTGATTCTCCTGTTATCAGCTCCATCCTCCAGTGAAATGCATTTTTGTGCACAACTGTCTTGTTCCTATACCTCTACCATGGATCATATTAAAAAATGCTTCTTCCCATAAACTGTGAAGTATTAATTGATAAGACACGGGAACCTGCACTACAGCATGTCCTTACCAATTAATATTGCTGTTGACTTAGTTTATGGGATTGAATTATTCATTGGAATCTTTTTACATGATGTCACTACAACCCAAGGGCTAAGAAATGTTAGCGCACCTACAGGATAGTGATGAAGAGAATTTTACTTATAAACCAAACAACCACATCAATTTAATCTCTGTACTTCCCATACTCAATAATGGAAACTTACTCTTAAGCCCTATCATTTTTGAACATGGAAGGTATTCATGCACACCCAAAATGGTCTAAATTAAGCTGGAATTCTGTAAGGTAGGAAAAAAACGCCTGGTTTGGGAGTCAGAAACTGTGAGCCTCAGTTGTATTTCCCTCTCTAGAATCATTACTATAAATGCTAAAATGAGGGTTTGGATTAGTGAAGGGTTAAGATTTCTTTCAGTTGTAACATTTCATTAGGATTCTATAAAGTTTAGAAAATGCAAAGATAGCAGCTGGTCTATTATGATGCATGATAGAAGTAAAAAACAAAAGAAAATGATTTGCAATATTCACGTAAATGATGTGTAATCTTCTCCCTACTCCCAAGCCTTTTGGTTCCCTTCCTATCAGGTTTGATACATGAACTTTTGATCACTTTAAACAGTTGTACTTTGTAATTAGAACAATTACCTGCTAGAGGGGTAAGCAGATACAAACAAAATAGAAGGACTCATCTCACCTCATGTACTCTAAAAACAAGAATTCTCAACAAAGCAAGAATTTTTAGTCACTACCCACTTGGGATGTTTTGAACTAGTCATTTAGGTAATATTTTTAAATTGTATTTTTTACTTCGTGTTAAAAATAGAATTAAGCCTGGTCTGGTGGTAGATGCCTGCAGTCCCAGCTACTTGGGAGGTTGAGGTGGAAGAATCACTTGAGCCTGGGAGTTTGAGTCCAGTGTGGGCAACATAGTGAGATCCTGTCCCTTAAAAAAAGTACAATTAACCACAATTAAAATATTCTACACAAGAAATCTTATTATAGCAGAACTTTATAAAACAACATCCTCAAACATAATAGTTCTGACTATAACCAAATACCTTATAATTCTTCCCTCTCCTTTCTAGCTTCTCTCTGAACAGGAAGGGGTGTTGGCTATTTAGCATCTGTGTCATGGTCTACTGATAACCTTAATGGCTGGCTTTCAATCATTGTCTCTCCATGTTGCCCGGGCTGGTCTCAAACTCCCAGTGGTTCACCGCCTTCTTGGCCTGGTGTGGTGGCTCACGCCTGTAATCCCAACACTTTGGGAGGCTGAGGTGGGTGGATCACTAGGAGTTTGAGACCAGCTTGGGAAACATGGAGAAACAATGTCTCTACTAAAAATAGAAAAATTAATTGGGTGTGGTGGTACGAACCTGTAGTCCCAGCTACTCAGGAGGCTTAGGCGAGAGGATCACCTGAGCCTGGGACATGGAGGTTGCAGTGAGTTAAGATCACACCAGGTCACTGCACTTTAGCCTGGGCCACAGAGCAAGACCCTGTCTCAAAACAAAAAACGAGAATTTTGCCTTCCTTTTATCTCATTTTTATTTCAGAAGAATGACAGAATTAACTGGAACTAAGTCTAGCTTTTGTAGGTTTTCTTCTCTTTGTCAAGTTTCTTAGTTCCTTCACTTCCTGCTAAGTAAGCAGGGTGTTTATAAAGGGAGATGATTTAAAGATGACTGAAGACAGATGTTAAATTTGAGGGGTTTGTTACTTCCTTAGTTTCACAAGTTAGAGTCTTAGAAGTCGCCAAGTAGTACTAGGATGCTTCTCCAGGACAGAGGTGAGTTAATGCACAGCCTTGCACTTGCTAAGGGGGAGGGGAGAGGGACTTAAGGATCTGCATGTGGGTGTGTCATGTCGTGCGCGGGTGCAGACAGGAGCAGGCCCAGGGCTGCCCAGCTCTCCTGAACCAGGCTTCACCACCTTCGCTAACAGGAGCCACTTGCACTCTATCCAGAAAAACACAAGACGTATATATACTTAACTGACAATGAAGGTACAATGTCAAGTGAGAAAAGACAAGAAGAGGGCTGGAGGAAGCTAAGAATAATAAAGGTATAGCAGTATTCTTGAGTTTTCGGGAAAACGGTTGGTTTTTCTGGGTGAGGGGAATTATGTGAATATGAATAGTGGTGATACCACACTCCCACTGCAGCGTGAAATCTGTGTCTGAGAGCCACCCAATGTGGAACTCTTATTTTTTAAAATAAGTGCAAAGATAGCAGCTGGTCTATTTTGATGCATGATAGAAGTAAAAACAAAAAGAAAATACGATTCGCAATACTCACTTAAATGATGTGTAATCTTCTCCCTACCCCCATCCATAGAAAGACGATAGGTACTGGCAAAACACTGCCCTCTCAAATATGTTGACTCCACAGAGAATGGAGTACTTTACAACCTAAGCTGAATCACAAGGATGTAAATCAGAAATCATTTAAGAGTTGAAAGTTTCAATGTGATAAAATTATTATTTTCAAACAAGGGTCACTGAATAAAATCTAACCTTGGTAAATAATAGCAGGCTCTGGACGTTACATCTCATGCCACCATATACAGGCAGAAGACACAGTATGTCCATGTGACTTGTCATTTCACTTGTAACAAAGTGCTAGATACTAATGGAATTACAATTTTTCATACAATATTTAATGTAATTATATTAAACATTTAGTCACCCTCACATAATTATTTAAGGGCCTAGTAGATGAAATTGCATTTCACAGAAACAAAGATAGGTTGAGATGGAGACACAGTGCCTGTGCTCGGAAGTCACTGGAAAGCACCCGATCACCATAGTCAAGATGGCCAAGGGCTTCTGACCTGATTAAAATAAGGAGTCATATAAGAAATGGCTTTATTAGAAAAAAAAATGTAGTGTACACGTGGCTAATTTCTATCATCGACATACCTCTTGGCTATTTTATCTTTAAAACTGGATACAGGGTTTGAACTTCTTCAGAAGTTAGTGGCATATCTTCCTATTCTGATATGTGACTTAGGGAAGGCGTTATCTTCATGTGATAGACACCCTTTATTTCTTTTCATAATTACAAGTAATCAGTAGTTTAGTACTGGCACAAAACAGAGAATTACTTAGGTAGTGCTTTACGTGTAAGACGTCATACTTCCAACCCCAGAATCAGGCACAGGTATGCCATCTGTAGAGTTTCAAAATCCCCTATTATCACTCAAGTCCCCATTATTATTACCTAGTAGTAATTAAATTAATGTGATAATCTGTAACCTAACAAAACCTCTGAATGAAGTTTCTTTCTTCTTCTTTTCCCGTTAGATGTGCAATTCCGAGCAAATGTGCAGTGTGCAGTATTGACTTCTAGCCTCCTTTTAAACTCCTTCAAGTCTGTGCTATTAAACGGAGACAACCACATCAAGATAGAGTCTGTCATAGGATTCCCTGAAGCACAGAATGAGGAGGAGACTGAGCAAACACGACCCGGGAAGGCACCAATTGAACCAAGACAACTCTGTAAGACAAAAAACATGCAGTTTTAAACATTCATGCATCACCAGCCGAACACCACCTGTATGCTGGAAGGAATCTGCTCTGCATTAAAAAGTACGTCTAATAAATGCACCCTGGAAGGCCTAGAAACTGCCTTTCAATAAACAGTGACAATCTGGAGACTAAGTGATGTGTGTAATATATTGCAGGGCTTCCATGTGGAATATTTTTAATCAATATTGTTAATAACTTTTCACCAATTTAATCCACCTTGACTTCGGTTACAAAAATAAATTACTTCAAAGAAAAAAATCAATCACCTTTAAATGTTAGTTTGATAGTGATTCTTTAAGTACCCTCTATCACCATCACTCTCGTCCCTGTTTATAAATATCTGATGGATTAAAAAGACAAATACCAAAATCACCTGAATTTTGAGATACCATTTTTAGATGTTTTGAATAGAAATATCTATTTCTCAGCAAAAATATTAAGTAGAAATCACTGTAAAACAGATTAGAAAATATATTTAAAAATAAAACATACCAAAAAATCAATCATCATTCTGCCCCCAGAGACCACTGTGAATATTTGGCTTATTTCTTTCTAGTCTTTTTCTCCACCAGCATGAATGGTTATGTATGATGCCAATTACTGGAAAACCTATAGGAATCATTTGAATGGGCAATTCTGTTGTTGTTTGATTTAATGTGTCAAACACATGCTTCTTCAGAAATGCTCTCTCATGAATTCAGGACTCTCCAACAAGACAATCCTGAGCCATTTGCTACCAACACACACTGCCCACTGTAGCTGCCTCTAGCCACTTCCTCGAGCTCCAGGGACCCTAGGGCTGTGCATCTGTTCAGCCTTCCTCTACCCCAGCCCATCTGCCGGTCAACCCCAAGGCTCTGAAGTGAATAGCTCCTTGGCATAAAAATGTTGGTGGAGGTGGTAGGGACAACGTTTCTAGTCTAATATCCATTTAGCAGTTTCAATTTAAAAAAACAAGGAAAATAAACTCCTTGGTGCCTTTTTTTTTTGGTCACTCTTAGGGGTTTTATTTTCCCTTTGTACCTCTACAAAATGCTAATACTGCCTTAATCTTCAAAAGTCATCCTAAAGATTTCCACACTGCTGCTTTAGTTTAATCCATAATTCATATGGCTAAAAGAGCAATTTATGCTCAGGAATGGAAATCAGAAAACTGACTGGCAAGAAAAGGTGCTGCAATACCTTTTTTTCCCTGTAATATGCTCACAAAAGCAGCCTCTCCACCTCTCAATTACTATGTTTTAAAAGTCAGACATGCTATTCTATAGTATATAACAAAGATGTATATTTCAATGGTATTTTTATGCAAAGCTGTTTTCTCTGCTTTACTTGGATTGAACATAGTCTAAATACTCAGAGAAGCTGTGATCTATGAGATCTTGTCTTCATTCTGATGTTCCCTGAAATGACACAACAGGTACTTTCTGCTTTTATGTTGACTATATAACCCCCGGATTTCTGGTAATTTTACTAGGCAAAAAGAAACAATAAAAAATTAAAAAGTAGTAAAATATAGACAATAGCATTTTGTTTGCATTAAAAGGGAGAACTTGGACTTCAGGGTCAAATTTTAAACAACAGATAAAAGATGTATGGTAATTGATAAATGGTTTACAACAATGACAGCTGCTACATCTTAAAGACTGTATTTTATGGGGAACTAGAGCAACACACATAGCAACAATCAGCTTGTCCTTGCTTTCCTTAAACTGAGAAACCTGTCAAATATTGCCCCAATTTTTTAATAATACCTTTTATTTCAGTTATTATTAGAATTGTAAAATCATTCTTCTATATAGGTTCAGATGAAATCTCTAAAAACTTAACATAATTGCTTTTTAGCACTATGGTTTGTTCACTGGTTTTTACTGTGTGCTTCTCTCTGAAAAGTCAAATCCACCTCTCAGTAAATTCACTTGTTTCAATCAACTGCAAGTGTTCTTTGGAATTATTTGCCTTGTTAGAAAGCAAAAGGTCAGAGACAGGGGAACCTTACATTTTCCTGCTGAAAACCATTCACATAAACCATGGCTTAGGTGCTCTAATAAGCAAGGAAATTATTTGCTTAAAAATATAATTTGACTTGGCAGTAGCAAAGTCAACTGCTCTCCTTTCTGAGCCTCTTTCTGATCCTGATACAGATGAATTAACAGAATCCCAAGCCACTGAGATTTCGTACTGTAACTCTTTTTCTCTTTTAAAATAAGCATGGGTTTCTAATATTTCTTCCCTTTGCCTTTCACTGGATGAAATATAAATCCACACTTGAAGGCAGGGCTCTACAGCCTGCCCCATACTTCCGCTGGGTCTCTATTGTCTACTGCACAGCAGAGTACTCTCTGCCAATTTACAGTTTAGACAGGTGCTCGACTTAGTGAGTGGGCTCTGCAGTAAATGATGAGACTCTTTTGGGATAGAGCTAATTGGGATTTTGCTCATCCTCTTATCTTTTTCTTCTGGAAGCCCTGTTGTACCTTTCGCCTCATCTTTCCCTTCAGTGATGCCATGTTTTTGGTTTCTACCACTGACAAGGACTTGACTGTTTCCAGCTGCCACACTCCAGAATCACTTTCCTATTTTCTTTTATGATGATTTAACAAGATTGTCTCCTTTATCACTCAAGGTGAGCAGCCAGCTGACCCCATGATTTCCCAGGACAATGCCCTGCTATCTTCATTCCACATCAATTACCCAGTAGATCGTACCATCACATTCCATTATTCTACTTCTTAGATATAAAATTACTTCTCACTAGTCCACATTTGTTGAACCTGCTCTTTGTTTTCCTGGTAATCATTAGTCAATGCCTCCCACCTCTGCCAGGCCCCTGAATCTTTTGAGTAACAATGCAGCCTCACATTCATGGTCAGCCACTTTAAAATGAAAGCACTGAGATAAAAATCATGATGCTTTTAGCCAAAACCCGCTGGAAAGCTTCTAGAACAAAAAGTAACAGATAATACAAACTTCAGAATATTAAACAGAATACATTGCAGAGCACATAAAGGATATAACAGCATTCTCGAATTGATTTTTCTATGTGACTTTATTAGAATAAAGCATCACCATGCTATCTCAACTCAATGAAATTCCCAAACGCAGGAAGCAACTCAGTTTTACAAATATGCTTATATCAGGGAGCAAGTAACAACTTTTTTTTTTTTTTTTTGGGCAGTGACCTTGAAAAATCCAAGTCAATAAAACTCTAAAAAAACTTCTGACAAGGTTCCAGGTTCCCAAAGCTGAATTGAAATAGGACGTGGAGACCCTGCGACCCAAGGCTCCAAATAAGCATTCTATAGTATATAACTATAGTGGCACTGGTATAGAAGCCTGAATCACATTTGCCTTCAATGGCTGTAATGGCTCTAATCTGCAAGCAAATTGCCAGCAGAACCTCGCTGGCTAGGCAAGGCATTCTATTGTGGTCATTTTGGGGTTTGTGTAGCCCTGAAAAATTATCTGTTTTCACTTATCAGATAGTACACTGCAGGGGGAAAAACCCGAGTCAGGAAATTTAGTACTTCCTTGAGAACTGACTTAAAAAACCACAGATCTTTATGATGGTTAAAAATCATCTTCTAAGTTATAATCTCAGCACTTTGGGAAGCCAAGGCAGGTGGATTTCTTGAGCCCAGAGATTCAAGACCAGCCTGGGCAACATGGCAGAATCTCATCTCTACCAAAAAAGTACAAAAAATGAACCAGGTTTGGTGGCACATGCTTGTGGTCCCAGCTACTTGGGAGGCTGAGGTAGGAGGATCACTTGAAGCTGGGAGGTCGATGTTGCAGTGAGCCATAATTGCACCACTGCACTCCAGACTGGGTGACACAGCAAGACCCTGTCTCCACTACACCTAAAAAAAAATCAGGCCTTCTAATCACATAACTAATAGTTGAATTTTGACATATAATTAACTTCTGGGTGAGTTTTCAAGTTTCAAAATAACTGAATAATGACATTTGAACACTGGTTTTAATGGAAGGGAATTCAATTTATCATATAAAACGTATAGGGTACTAGGCTGCAGAACTAACATTTATTGTTAGGAAACAGTTTTACAGAATTTTTAGATTTGCAATTTATATATCATCATACCTCAGACCATAAAGAATGTGATCTGCTACAGGACTTTTAGGGCAAGATCAATTAATCCTACTGAAAAGAGTTTCAACACGAATTTCATGGTTCTAGTAACTTTAGTCCTAGAGAGATGTGGACGATGTTTTCATGTATTCATGATGCGCACTCATAAATACACATAAAAGCACTTCTTTACAATGGAAGACTAGATATTTAAATTCCTAGCACCAGTCAGCGAATTATATAGCAGAAACAAAACAAACATCGGTGGGTGCCAGCTGTGCCGTGGACTAGGCTCTTTCCTATGTATCTTCTTCTTAACTGCCTAAAATGCCAAAATTTAATGAGACCGTTTTCCTGGAAACCGTCTTGGTGGATTAAAATGAAAGATTATCTAAAGTTTCATAGGGTACTATGCTCAATACCTGGGTGATGGGATCATTCGTGTCCCAAACCTCAGTGCCATGCAATATTCCCATGTAACAATCCTGCACATGTACTCCTTGAATCTAAAATAAACATTTAAATTATTTCAAAAAGTTCCACTTTTTTTTACAATAGTCACAAAGTTTAAGTGGAAACTTTTTAAACATCTACACAAACATGTATAAGAACACAGGATCAGAAACCAACCAAAAAGAAGGATGTTTTGTTTCTCCCAGCTAGATAAAAACTTGATTATATCAGAAATGGGCAGAAATAGTGCCAAATGTTTCTTCTGCTCGCTCTGCCAAAGAAATAAAATATCTGCTTGTATCTGGTCACTATGAATTTGCAAAATGAGGAAGAAGTACTGACTGACGTCAGTTCCATTTAATTCACTCCAGACACCAAACGCTGTTAACAAGTCAAAACTGCAACAGGACCCAGGGGAGTGACAGGGATAAACTACTGGCCAGGCAAAACGGTCAGATGTGCATGGACCTCTGTTGCAGTAAGACAGTTTAGGGCAGTTTCCATTATTGGTGTCTTCCCTGCCTTAAACTGATAAATAAAAACGTGTTTGTTACATACTAGAGACCATAAGCAAAAGATTTACTGGGGAATAACATTATCTGGCATTTGCTGTTGTTCTTTTTAAATACCGGGAGGACAAAACTCTATTTTTAGCTGACAGGAAAAACCATGCTCTGCTGGGTGGCACCAACCACTAAGCAAAGCTGTGCCCATTGGCTGGAAAACTGCTTCTACCATCCCAGGGGGTATCACAGCCAGCTCTGATGCTTTACCAGATAGACAGGCAATAAGCCACTTAATTTAAATTGTGATACAGCTCAAGTGGATTAAAGCTGATATGTAATGATCGTCAACTACGCTGTTTAGAAAACTAATTGGAAGGAAAGACCTGATTCCTGGTGATGGTGCTTTTCCCTAATGGAAGCACGTGTTTCCAGGAGGACAACAAAGAGTGATCTTCTGACTTCATTAATATCACCCTCCTTCATATGATAAATCAAACTTGTATCAGGTTTAGCAAAGACTTAATTTACCTGCATTACTGATTGACAAAAACAATCTAATGTACTGTTTATTATATTAAGAAATAAGTTCGTGTCCTTCATAGGGACATGGATGAATCTGGAAACCATCATTCTCAGCAAACTGACACAAGAACAGAAAATCAAACACTGCATGGTATCACTCACAGGCGGGTGTTGAATAATTAGAACACGTGGATAAGGGAGGGGAGCATCACACACCTGCGGTCAGTTGGGGGGAACTAGGGGAGGGACAGCTGGGGGTGGATAGAAATACCAGATATAGCTGATGGGGGAGGAAGGCAGCAAACCACCTTGCCATGTAGTACCTATGCAACAATCCTGCATGGTCTGCACATATACCTCAGAACCTAAAGTACAATAAAATAAAAATAAAAATAAATTCATCTACCCTATGGAAAGAAAGACAGTTTCAAAATTTATTTTCCAGTTGAGGAGGTTAGCATAGTTATTATTGCAATTATAACCCTGTCAGAAATACTCCTATAAACAATTCGGCCTCTTGGAGTGTCACATTTTAGAGCATTCCTTACACTGGGTGACTTCCTTCATTCATCCCTCAGGCTTTAAACTCCTTATACAACCCTAATATTAATTTACATCCTGTGTTAAGAGAGATTCAAAGTAGTTTTTAAAAAGCAATAGACCAGAGGTTCATAATGACAATCTGCATATTTGAATCACTTGGTAGGGTAAGGCGTGGGGGTGGGAGGATTTTAAAAGCACAAATGCTAGGCTTCAGTTCAGGTTAATTCAGAAATTCGGGGAGGTGGTGGGGAGTACAGGCAGGGAAGGAGTGAGAGTGTACTTGGGCTAGAATGCATTTCAAGAAAAACAACTGAGGAGTTTCCTTTCATTGGCAATGAAAGCTCACATAAAGTAATTTGCCTTAGTGAGACTTCTCCAAATAAAAAACTTCTATACACTGGTGACACAAGCTTTTCTTGTAACACATTTAAATAGTAAATAAAAAATCAAATTTCTTACCTGTATGATAAAATGTGAGAAAAAATAAAAGTACTCCCATAAATATATTACTTAAAAAAGTGACAACTCCACAAGTAATTCCTTCTGGAACTGGGTAGACAGTTTCCACAAAAAGCTCAAAAAATATAGGTACACTGCTATTCAAGAAGACTCCCAGGAGAATGCAGGAGGCATATAATGTCACTAAAATAAAAACACAAACATTTTAGTTTCACAGTAGCAGTGTTCAGTCATATCAGATCGATCTTTAGGGTGTTCTCTTTCCAAAGCATTGACTCTGAAATTTCTTCTCTTTTCAAAGGTAGTTGGTAAAGTTTGACAAAGCATCACACATCTGTCAGCTCTTTGCTGCAGTTTTGTGGAGGAGACACAAAAACATTTTATTTCTGGATGAGTACCAGTTTATTTCCTTTACCTTTCTGGTGGATTATTCCAAAGCACAAAACAATTTACCACTATCATATAATTAAAAGGGTTCTTCTCCTGCTTGGTCATACTCCTCTAGACTTGTTCCATTATTTTAGAATGTAAAATCTAAGAATAAATGTCAGAAGCATTACATGTTACTGAAAGTTACCTAAAGAGATTGGCTAATAATTGCTTTCAAGCACAAAATAAACATCATGCAGTATGTAATTTCTTGAGAAACACAATGTAATCAGTCCTCGATTTTGGAATGGGTTTTATGTCAACATTTTTTTTCAAATAAGTAACTTTTTTGAAACACAGAAAAATATTTCATCCAGAAATGTACAATTAATAGTGACTAGGATCCCCAATGAAATCATAAAAAATCTGTTAACACTATTCTGTGGCAAAGTCTATTGAATAAGGATGTTATTTTTATTCTTATAAGAAAGTCTGGGGAAATACACTACAAGTAATTTTATCATTGCTACTACTGTCTGTCTATGAACCTTCATTAATTTTAACTTGAAGGCGAAAACAGAACCAGAAAGGAAAAAAATGATTCCCTATTTAGAAACCTAAAATATGTCCCTATATCCTAGTAAGTATAACATATTCACTGATAATAATGAGTAGAAGTCATCCTAAGTTTAAGGTTACAAGGAAAGTATTTTTAATAAAAATATTTGTTAAGGAAAAAAAAATCCTGTATGGGAACTGCAGAAAGTAAGGAAGTTACATTAAATCTGTTATGTATAATTCATGCACTCACAGAACATATCAAATTACCAGAATTTACCATAACTGATTGCAATCATTAACGGTCCATGACGTTGTCGAAGGGGTAAAAAAAATAATAGTATACACTGATTTCTAATAGAATTTCTCTAATTAACCTCCACTCTTGCTTCCCCCTCCAATTACACTGGTCTTTGGGGATTATAAAATATTTAATATGTTCTAATAAAACAAATAGTTGGTAATTACTTTGACTGTTTCTTTGAATAGTAGATATGAAAATAGATAAAGAAAGAATCACTTGGTGAATTAAGAACATACTGCTGACTAAAGCAGTGATCAGATTATTTGCACAATTACATGGGAAGCATCAGATGGCTATGACAAATACCATTTAAAATGTGACATAATTTTCAAGAGATTCTTAAAAACAAAACACAACCTAATGCTTCATGTTCACAATATATTTGCCAGATGTAGATCACATAAATCAATCACATTTTCTACTTACATATGACTCATTAGTGGTACATTAGGAAATCTAGAGATGGAAAATCACTTTAGATTTATTTATTTATTATTTTTGAGACGGAGTCTTGCTCTATTTCCCAGACTAAAGTGCCGTGGTGTGATCTTGGCTCACTGCAACCTCTGCCTCCTGGGTTCAAGTCATTCTTCTGCCTCAGCCTCCCTAGTAGCTGGGATTACAGGCATGTACCACCATGCCGAGCTAATTTTGTGTGTGTGTGTGTGTGTGTGTGTGTGTGTGTGTGTGTGTGTGTGTATTTTTATTAGAGATGGGGTTTTGCCATGTTAGCCAGGCTGGTCTTGAATTCCTGACCTCAAATGATTCACCTGCATTGGTCTCCCAAAGTGCTGGGATTACAGGTGTGGACCACCACACCCGGCCTAGAATAATTTATTATCATGCCAGCCATGGTGACTCACACCTGTAATCCCTTTGGGAGGCTGAGGCAGGATTACTTGAGCCCAGGAGTTCCAGACCATCCTGGGCAACATGGTGAGACCCTGTCTCTCCAAATAATAATAATGATGAAGTTATTTTTAAAAATATTAATTTATTGATCAGTCAGTGGTAGTCAGAGGAAAGAGGATGATTGACCCAAAGACAGATGAGCCTAAGAGTTTAAAACAAGAAAATATTAAAGTAAATAACAGGAAATAAATCAAGCTCTTAAGGACCAGCAAGTGCTACTTCTGAGTAAAGACTCCCAAATTCCTGATGGAATTAGCTGTTTTTAGGAAACATGTTTTGAAATAATCCTGTCTACATTTTTATTTCTGAAGGAAATGTACTCCTATATATAATTTGTAGTCAGGCAAATTAAAATGCAATAATTTAAAAATAATTACAATCTGGTTAACAGAATAATTCCATGTGGTAAATGAATGAAAATATAATACGAATGTACTGAAAGGGAAATACCAATATGGAGTCTTGAAAAGAGATTTGGTTGGGCGAGGTGGCTCACGCCTGTAATCCCAACACTTTGGGAGGCCAAGGTGGGCAGATCAAGAGGTCAGGAAATTGAGACCATCCTGGCCAACATGGTGAAATCCTGTCTCTACTAAAAAAATACAAAAAATTAGCTGGGCATGGTGGCAGGTGCCTGTAGTCCCAGCTACTCAGGAGGCTGAGGCAGGAGAATCACCTGGACCTGGGAGGCAGAGGTTGCAGTGAGCTGAGATTGCATCACTGCATTCCAGCCTCAGTGACACAGTGAGACTTCATCTTGAAAAAAAAAAAAAAAAAAAAAAAAAAAAAAAGGAAGAAAAGAGAGATTCAATTTGAATGATTTTTTATCAAGCACCGTACAAAGAAAGAGGCATGGGATGTGTCAGAAGAGACTGGGCTCTCTGACACATCCCATGGGGAAGCAGGGGGCTCTATCTGAAAACCCTGAGACCTCAAGACCATGCAAGTCCCTTGGTCCTCATTTCATGCTTATTAAGAGTCTTTGGATTTTGGCTTTCTATGTGTCTAAATTCTGGGAGGAACTTGGAAGAAGAGGCATAAATAACTGCTGTTGGAAAGATGAAATTTTTACTGTGGTTAAACATTCCTGATGGAACTGTAAATAGCTCATCTTCTGGTGAGTAATTTGGAAATGTTTATCAAAATAAATAAGGTAATTACTCTTTGACCTAACACTTCCATGCCTAAGGATTTATCCTACTGCTATGCAGATATAGATATATAAAGAACACTTACCAAAGAAACTATAGTATGAAAAGATGAAAAACAAGCTAAATGCCCCCAATGGTGGGGGTGTGGTTGGTTAAAATTTTATAAAACATCCAAAGAGATATTATACAATTAAAAATGAGGCACCTCTGTATGTACTATAATAATATTAATAACACTTAAGATACATAAGTGAAAAAGGTACTGAAAAGTATGTTATACTAAAACAAAGGGCACACACACATTACAGTATCTATCTGTAAATACACAGAATTCCCTGGGAGAATATAGGAGAAACTGGCAATCAGGTTTGCCTTCAGAGAGGAAAATTGGGGGTCACAGGAGAGTAGAGACTTTTAACTGTATACTCTTTTTCTACTACTTGAATTTGAATTTTTTTGCTATGTGTATAGCTTACTTATTTAATAAAATTAAAAGAAATTTCATTATGAACAAATGAATGGACAGTAGACACAACTCCACTTCATGTGAGTTTGTGAGCTCATTAGCTCAGAAATGGTTATCACCAGGTGAGCTGAACCAAAGAGGTGATGTCTACATCCAGGAGCCACATAACACAGCCTTGGTGCGGGGTCCTTGACGTGAAGATTCCCACTTCACTTGTTAGAATTCCTATTATTTGGAGGATAAATGGGCTATTATATGTAGGAGAAATAGATGATATAACTTTAGAGGTCAGTAATCAAAAATGAAGTATTTTCATTCGATTGTCTCAGTCTTGGTGTTTGCTTCTTGTGTTACTATAAAAGCGATGACTGGCTGGGTGCGGTGGCTCATGCCTGTAATCCCAGCACTTTGGAAGGCCAAGGCGGGCAAATCACAAAGTCAAGAGATAGAGACCATCCTGGCCAACATGGTGAAATACTGTCTCTACTAAAAATACAAAAATTAGCTGGGTGTGGTGGCATACACCTATAGTCCCAGCTACTCGGGAGGCTGAGACAGAAGAATCACTTGAACCTGGAAGGCAGAGGTGGCAGTGAGCCGAGATTGTGCCACTGCACTCCAGCCTGGTGACAGAATGAGATTCTGTACCGCCCCCCCAAATAAATAAAGTGGTGACCAAGAGATTTTTATTACACTAGATAGATATGTGGAAATCACTTGTTATTGCAGAAAGTAAAAAATCATAATAATTTACCCAGGAAGGGGTTAAATTAAGATCCTCATCATTAGAATGGGGGAAGGTAGCTGTGTCAGGACTGATTTAATATATTCCAGTGTTCTGGGGCATGCATAAAGCAGACGCTGATTATTGCAAGTCTGAATTTGATTTCCATTCGAGTTTTCAGTTTAGAATCTCATACATCCAGTGGGTGAATGTCATCTATTAAAAGTCAGGCAGACAAGATAATTTCTTGCTTGTCATGGAAGGTTCAAACTACATGATCATTAAATATTTCCATAACTTTGTGTAATACTGATACTAAAATTATAATCAACTGCCTTTCAATTAAAAATTCAAGGTAATTTAGCAGAACAAACACAACTGAAGTGCTGATGCAGATTTTTTTTTTTTCTAATAAAAAGCAAATAAAATTTCATGGGCCTACACTTTAAATTGCAAAAAACAAAGTCCTATGTAGCACAAACTACTGTACAGTTAAAAATGAATGTATTTCAAGCACATGTCTTGGATCATAACCCTGAAAGTATTCTTCCCCACCCTTGTTCCCATAACAAAACAAATTACTAAACTTTAGGGAAACAAAACTATGTACAAATACATTTTTATTAACTAAAGTTACACTAAACCTTTAGGAGATCAGTGATTACAAAACAAATTACAGATAAGAATAAGACCTATCAA